TTTGAATGTTTTTGAGCATGTGTAATGGCATGAATGCGTTAAGCTGTTGTTTTAGTGTTCTTTTGATGAGTTTGGCTTGTTGTTATGAACATTGTTCGTTTTGGCCAGTTTGAAGGTTTTTTAGCATGTGTAATGGCACTAATGCGTTAAGCTGTTGTTTTAGGGTCCTTTAATGAGTTTGGCTTGTTGTTATGAACATTGTTCGTTTTGGCCAGTTTGAAGGTTTTTTTAGCATGTGTAATGGCATGAATGCGTTAAGCTGTTGTTTTAGTGTTCTTTTGATGAGTTTGGCTTGTTGTTATGAAAAGTGTTTGTTTTGGCCAGTTTGAACGTTTTTGAGCATGTGTAATGGCATGCATGTGTTGAATTAGTAATCCCTTGTGTTAAGCTGTTGTTTTAGTGTTCTTTTGATGAGTTTGTCTGGTTGTTATGAAAAGTGTTTGTTTTGGCGAGTTTGAACGTTTTTGAGCATGTGTAATGGCATGAATGCGTTAAGCTGTTGTTTTAGTGTTCTTTTGTTGAGTTTGTCTTGTTGTTATGAAAAGTGTTTGTTTTGGCGAGTTTGAACGTTTTTGAGCATGTGTAATGGCATGAATGCGTTAAGCTGTTGTTTTAGTGTTCTTTTGATGAGTTTGGCTTGTTGTTATGAACATTGTTCGTTTTGGCCAGTTTGAACGTTTTTGAGCATGTGTAATGGCATGAATGTGTTGAATTAGTAATCCCTTGTGTTAAGCTGTTGTTTTAGTGTTCTTTTGATGAGTTTGGCTTGTTGTTATGAAAAGTGTTTGTTTTGGCGAGTTTGAACGTTTTTGAGCATGTGTAATGGCACTACTGCGTTAAGCTGTTGTTTTAGTGTTCTTTTGATGAGTTTGGCTTGTGGTTATGAAAAGTGTTCGTTTTGGCGAGTTTGAACGTTTTTGAGCATGTGTAATGGCATGAATGCGTTAAGCTGTTGTTTTAGTGTTCTTTTGTTGAGTTTGGCTTGTTGTTATGAAAAGTGTTTGTTTTGGCGAGTTTGAACGTTTTTGAGCATGTGTAATGGCATGAATGCGTTAAGCTGTTGTTTTAGTGTTCTTTTGATGACTTTGGCTTGTTGTTATGAACATTGTTCGTTTTGGCCAGTTTGAAGGTTTTTAGCATGTGTAATGGCATGCATGTGTTGAATTAGTAATCCCTTGTGTTAAGCTGTTGTTTTAGTGTTCTTTTGATGAGTTTGTCTGGTTGTTATGAAAAGTGTTTGTTTTGGCGAGTTTGAACGTTTTTGAGCATGTGTAATGGCATGAATGCGTTAAGCTGTTGTTTTAGTGTTCTTTTGTTGAGTTTGGCTTGTTGTTATGAAAAGTGTTTGTTTTGGCGAGTTTGAACGTTTTTGAGCATGTGTAATGCCATGAATGCGTTAAGCTGTTGTTTTAGTGTTCTTTTGATGACTTTGGCTTGTTGTTATGAACATTGTTCGTTTTGGCCAGTTTGAATGTTTTTTAGCATGTGTAATGGCATGCATGTGTTGAATTAGTAATCCCTTGTGTTAAGCTGTTGTTTTAGTGTTCTTTTGATGAGTTTGTCTGGTTGTTATGAAAAGTGTTTGTTTTGGCGAGTTTGAACGTTTTTGAGCATGTGTAATGGCATGAATGCGTTAAGCTGTTGTTTTAGTGTTCTTTTGATGAGTTTGGCTTGTTGTTATGAACATTGTTTGTTTTGGCGAGTTTGAACGTTTTTGAGCATGTGTAATGGCATGAATGCGTTAAGCTGTTGTTTTAGTGTTCTTTTGATGAGTTTGGCTTGTTGTTATGAAAAGTGTTTGTTTTGGCGAGTTTGAACGTTTTTGAGCATGTGTAATGGCATGAATGCGTTAAGCTGTTGTTTTAGTGTTCTTTTGATGAGTTTGGCTTGTTGTTATGAACATTGTTCGTTTTGGCCAGTTTGAAGGTTTTTGAGCATGTGTAATGGCATGAATGCGTTAAGCTGTTGTTTTAGTGTTGTTTTGATGAGTTTGGCTTGTTGTTATGAAAAGTGTTTGTTTTGGCGAGTTTGAACGTTTTTGAGCATGTGTAATGGCATGAATGCGTTAAGCTGTTGTTTTAGTGTTCTTTTGATGAGTTTGGCTTGTTGTTATGAACATTGTTCGTTTTGGCCAGTTTGAAGGTTTTTTAGCATGTGTAATGGCATGCATGTGTTGAATTAGTAATCCCTTGTGTTAAGCTGTTGTTTTAGTGTTCTTTTGATGAGTTTGTCTGGTTGTTATGAAAAGTGTTTGTTTTGGCGAGTTTGAACGTTTTTGAGCATGTGTAATGGCATGAATGCGTTAAGCTGTTGTTTTAGTGTTCTTTTGATGAGTTTGGCTTTTTGTTATGAACATTGTTCGTTTTGGCCAGTTTGAAGGTTGTTTTAGCATGTGTAATGGCATGAATGCGTTAAGCTGTTGTTTTAGTGTTCTTTTGATGAGTTTGGCTTGTTGTTATGAAAAGTGTTTGTTTTGGCGAGTTTGAACGTTTTTGAGCATGTGTAATGGCATGAATGCGTTAAGCTGTTGTTTTAGTGTTCTTTTGATGAGTTTGGCTTGTTGTTATGAACATTGTTCGTTTTGGCCAGTTTGAAGGTTGTTTTAGCATGTGTAATGGCATGAATGCGTTAAGCTGTTGTTTTAGTGTTCTTTTGATGAGTTTGGCTTGTTGTTATGAAAAGTGTTTGTTTTGGCGAGTTTGAACGTTTTTGAGCATGTGTAATGGCATGAATGCGTTAAGCTGTTGTTTTAGTGTTCTTTTGATGAGTTTGGCTTGTTGTTATGAAAAGTGTTTGTTTTGGCGAGTTTGAACGTTTTTGAGCATGTGTAATGGCATGAATGCGTTAAGCTGTTGTTTTAGTGTTCTTTTGATGAGTTTGGCTTGTTGTTATGAAAAGTGTTTGTTTTGGCGAGTTTGAACGTTTTTGAGCATGTGTAATGGCATGAATGCGTTAAGCTGTTGTTTTAGTGTTCTTTTGATGAGTTTGGCTTGTTGTTATGAAAAGTGTTTGTTTTGGCGAGTTTGAACGTTTTTGAGCATGTGTAATGGCATGAATGCGTTAAGCTGTTGTTTTAGTGTTCTTTTGATGAGTTTGGCTTGTTGTTTTGAACATTGTTCGTTTTGGCGAGTTTGAACGTTTTTGAGCATGTGTAATGGCATGAATGCGTTAAGCTGTTGTTTTAGTGTTCTTTTGATGAGTTTGGCTTGTTGTTATGAAAAGTGTTTGTTTTGGCCAGTTTGAACGTTTTTGAGCATGTGTAATGGCATGAATGCGTTAAGCTGTTGTTTTAGTGTTCTTTTGATGAGTTTGGCTTGTTGTTATGAAAAGTGTTTGTTTTGGCGAGTTTGAACGTTTTTGAGCATGTGTAATGGCATGAATGCGTTAAGCTGTTGTTTTAGTGTTCTTTTGATGAGTTTGGCTTGTTGTTATGAAAAGTGTTTGTTTTGGCGAGTTTGAACGTTTTTGAGCATGTGTAATGGCATGAATGCGTTAAGCTGTTGTTTTAGTGTTCTTTTGATGAGTTTGGCTTGTTGTTATGAAAAGTGTTTGTTTTGGCGAGTTTGAACGTTTTTGAGCATGTGTAATGGCATGAATGCGTTAAGCTGTTGTTTTAGTGTTCTTTTGATGAGTTTGGCTTGTTGTTATGAAAAGTGTTTGTTTTGGCCAGTTTGAAGGTTTTTGAGCATGTGTAATGGCATGAATGTGTTGAATTAGTAATCCCTTGTGTTAAGCCGTTGTTGAGTGTTCTTTTGATGAGTTTGGCTTGTTGTTATGAAAAGTGTTTGTTTTGGCGAGTTTGAATGTTTTTGAGCATGTGTAATGGCATGAATGCCTTAAGCTGTTGTTTTAGTGTTCTTTTGATGAGTTTGGCTTGTTGTTATGAACATTGTTCGTTTTGGCCAGTTTGAAGGGTTTTTAGCATGTGTAATGGCATGAATGCGTTAAGCTGTTGTTTTAGTGTTCTTTTGATGAGTTTGGCTTGTTGTTAAGAAAAGTGTTTGTTTTGGCGAGTTTGAACGTTTTTGAGCATGTGTAATGGCACTAATGCGTTAAGCTGTTGTTTTAGTGTTCTTTTGATGAGTTTGGCTTGTTGTTAAGAAAAGTGTTTGTTTTGGCGAGTTTGAACGTTTTGAGCATGTGTAATGGCACTAATGCGTTAAGCTGTTGTTTTAGTGTTCTTTTGATGAGTTTGGCTTGTTGTTATGAAAAGTGTTTGTTTTGGCGAGTTTGAACGTTTTTGAGCATGTGTAATGGCATGAATGCGTTAAGCTGTTGTTTTAGTGTTCTTTTGATGAGTTTGGCTTGTTGTTATGAAAAGTGTTTGTTTTGGCGATTTTGAACGTTTTTGGGCATGTGTAATGGCATGAATGCGTCAAGCTGTTGTTTTAGTGTTCTTTTGATGAGTTTGGCTTGTTGTTATGAACATTGTTCGTTTTGGCGAGTTTGAACGTTTTTGAGCATGTGTAATGGCATGAATGCGTTAAGCTGTTGTTTTAGTGTTCTTTTGATGAGTTTGGCTTGTTGTTATGAAAAGTGTTTGTTTTGGCGAGTTTGAACGTTTCTGAGCATGTGTAATGGCATGAATGTGTTGAATTAGTAATCCCTTGTGTTAAGCCATTGTTTTAGTGTTCTTTTGATGAGTTTGGCTTGTTGTTATGAACATTGTTTGTTTTGGCGAGTTTGAACGTTGTTGAGCATGTGTAATGGCATGAATGCGTTAAGCTGTTGTTTTAGTGTTCTTTTGATGAGTTTGGCTTGTTGTTATGAAAAGTGTTTGTTTTGGCGAGTTTGAACGTTTTTGAGCATGTGTAATGGCATGAATGCGTTAAGCTGTTGTTTTTAGTGTTCTTTTGATGAGTTTGGCTTGTTGTTATGAACATTGTTCGTTTTGGCCAGTTTGAAGGTTTTTTTAGCATGTGTAATGGCATGAATGCGTTAAGTTGTCGTTTTAGTGTTCTTTTGATGAGTTTGGCTTGTTGTTATGAACATTGTTCGTTTTGGCGAGTTTGAACGTTTTTGAGCATGTGTAATGGCATAATTCGTTAAGCTATTGTTTTAGTCTTCTTTTGATGAGTTTGGCTTGTTGATATGAAAAGTGTATGTTTTGGCGAGTTTGAACGTTTTTGAGCATGTGTAATGGCATGAATGCGTTAAGCTGTTGTTTTAGTGTTCTTATGATGAGTTTGGCTTGTTGTTATGAAAAGTGTTTGTTTTGGCGAGTTTGAACGTTTTTGAGCATGTGTAATGGCATGAATGCGTTTAAGCTGTTGTTTTAGTGTTCTTTTGATGAGTTTGGCTTGTTGTTATGAAAAGTGTTTGTTTTGGCGAGTTTGAACGTTTTTGAGCATGTGTAATGGCATGAATGCGTTAAGCTGTTGTTTTAGTGTTCTTTTGATGAGTTTGGCTTGTTGTTATGAAAAGTGTTTGTTTTGGCGAGTTTGAACGTTTTTGAGCATGTGTAATGGCATGAATGCGTTAAGCTGTTGTTTTAGTGTTCTTTTGATGACTTTGGCTTGTTGTTATGAACATTGTTCGTTTTGGCGAGTTTGAACGTTTTTGAGCATGTGTAATGGCATGAATGCGTTAAGCTGTTGTTTTAGTGTTCTTTTGATGAGTTTGGCTTGTTGTTATGAACATTGTTCGTTTTGGCGAGTTTGAACGTTTTTGAGCATGTGTAATGGCATGAATTCGTTAAGCTGTTGTTTTAGTGTTCTTTTGATGAGTTTGGCTTGTTGTTATGAAAAGTGTTTGTTTTGGCGAGTTTGAACGTTTTTTAGCATGTGTAATGGCATGAATGTGTTGAATTGGTAATCCCTTGTGTTAAGCCATTGTTTTAGTGTTCTTTTGATGAGTTTGGCTTGTTGTTATGAACATTGTTTGTTTTGGCGAGTTTGAACGTTTTTGAGCATGTGTAATGGCATGAATGCGTTAAGCTGTTGTTTTAGTGTTCTTTTGATGAGTTTGGCTTGTTGTTATGAAAAGTGTTTGTTTTGGCGAGTTTGAACGTTTTTGAGCATGTGTAATGGCATGAATGCGTTAAGCTGTTGTTTTAGTGTTCTTTTGATGAGTTTGGCTTGTTGTTATGAAAAGTGTTTGTTTTGGCGATTTTGAACGTTTTTGAGCATGTGTAATGGCATGAATGCGTTAAGCTGTTGTTTTAGTGTTCTTTTGATGAGTTTGGCTTGTTGTTATGAACATTGTTCGTTTTGGCCAGTTTGAAGGTTTTTTTAGCATGTGTAATGGCATGAATGCGTTAAGCTTTTGTTTTAGTGTTCTTTTGATGAGTTTGGCTTGTTGTTATGAACATTGTTCGTTTTGGCGAGTTTGAACGTTTTTGAGCATGTGTAATGGCATAATTTGTTAAGCAATTGTTTTAGTGTTCTTTTGATGAGTTTGGCTTGTTGATATGAAAAGTGTTTGTTTTGGCGAGTTTGAACGTTTTTGAGCATGTGTAATGGCATGAATGCGTTAAGCTGTTGTTTTAGTGTTCTTTTGATGAGTTTGGCTTGTTGTTATGAACATTGTTTGTTTTGGCGAGTTTGAACGTTTTTTAGCATGTGTAATGGCATGAATGCGTTAAGCTGTTGTTTTAGTGTTCTTTTGATGAGCTTGGCTTGTTGTTATGAAAAGTGTTTGTTTTGGCGAGTTTGAAGGTTTTTTAGCATGTGTAATGGCATGAATGTGTTGAATTAGTAATCCCTTGTGTTAAGCCGTTGTTTCAGTGTTCTTTTGATGAGTTTGGCTTGTTGTTATGAAAAGTGTTTGTTTTGGCGAGTTTGAACGTTTTTGAGCATGTGTAATGGCACTAATGCGTTAAGCTGTTGTTTTAGTGTTCTTTTGATGAGTTTGGCTCGTTGTTATGAACATTGTTCGTTTTGGCGAGTTTGAACGTTTTTGAGCATGTGTAATGGCATGAATGCGTTAAGCTGTTGTTTTAGTGTTCTTTTGATGAGTTTGGCTTGTTGTTATGAACATTGTTCGTTTTGGCCAGTTTGAAGGTTTTTTAGCATGTGTAATGGCATGAATGTGTTGAATTAGTAATCCCTTGTGTTAAGTTGTTTTAGTGTTCTTTTGATGAGTTTGGCTTGTTGTTATGAAAAGTGTTTGTTTTGGCGAGTTTGAACGTTTTTGAGCATGTGTAATGGCATGAATGCGTTAAGCTGTTGTTTTAGTGTTCTTTTGATGAGTTTGGCTTGTTGTTATGAACATTGTTCGTTTTGGCCAGTTTGAAGGTTGTTTTAGCATGTGTAATGGCATGAATGCGTTAAGCTGTTGTTTTAGTGTTCTTTTGATGACTTTGGCTTGTTGTTATGAAAAGTGTTTGTTTTGGCGAGTTTGAACGTTTTTGAGCATGTGTAATGGCATGAATGCGTTAAGCTGTTGTTTTAGTGTTCTTTTGATGAGTTTGGCTTGTTGTTATGAACATTGTTCGTTTTGGCGAGTTTGAACGTTTTTGAGCATGTGTAATGGCATGAATGCGTTAAGCTGTTGTTTTAGTGTTCTTTTGATGACTTTGGCTTGTTGATATGAAAAGTGTTTGTTTTGGCGAGTTTGAACGTTTTTGAGCATGTGTAATGGCATGAATGCGTTAAGCTGTTGTTTTAGGGGTCTTTTGATGAGTTTGGCTTGTTGTTATGAAAAGTGTTTGTTTTGGCGAGTTTGAACGTTTTTGAGCATGTGTAATGGCATGAATGCGTTAAGCTGTTGTTTTAGTGTTCTTTTGATGAGTTTGGCTTGTTGTTATGAAAAGTGTTTGTTTTGGCGAGTTTGAACGTTTTTGAGCATGTGTAATGGCATGAATGCGTTAAGCTGTTGTTTTAGTGTTCTTTTGATGAGTTTGGCTTGTGGTTATGAAAAGTGTTCGTTTTGGCCAGTTTGAAGGTTTTTGAGCATGTGTAATGGCATGAATGCGTTAAGCTGTTGTTTTAGTGTTCTTTTGATGAGTTTGGCTTGTTGATATGAAAAGTGTTCGTTTTGGTGAGTTTGAACGTTTTTGAGCATGTGTAATGGCATGAATGTGTTTAGCTGTTGTTTTAGTGTTCTTTTGATGAGTTTGGCTTGTTGTTATGAAAAGTGTTTGTTTTGGCGAGTTTGAACGTTTTTGAGCATGTGTAATGGCATGAATGCGTTAAGCTGTTGTTTTAGTGTTCTTTTGATGAGTTTGGCTTGTTGTTATGAAAAGTGTTTGTTTTGGCGAGTTTGAACGTTTTTGAGCATGTGTAATGGCATGAATGCGTTAAGCTGTTGTTTTAGTGTTCTTTTGATGAGTTTGGCTTGTTGTTATGAAAAGTGTTTGTTTTGGCGAGTTTGAACGTTTTTGAGCATGTGTAATGGCATGAATGTGTTGAATTAGTAATCCCTTGTGTTAAGCCGTTGTTGAGTGTTCTTTTGATGAGTTTGGCTTGTTGTTATGAAAAGTGTTTGTTTTGGCGAGTTTGAATGTTTTTGAGCATGTGTAATGGCATGAATGCCTTAAGCTGTTGTTTTAGTGTTCTTTTGATGAGTTTGGCTTGTTGTTATGAACATTGTTCGTTTTGGCCAGTTTGAAGGGTTTTTAGCATGTGTAATGGCATGAATGCGTTAAGCTGTTGTTTTAGTGTTCTTTTGATGAGTTTGGCTTGTTGTTAAGAAAAGTGTTTGTTTTGGCGAGTTTGAACGTTTTTGAGCATGTGTAATGGCACTAATGCGTTAAGCTGTTGTTTTAGTGTTCTTTTGATGAGTTTGGCTTGTTGTTAAGAAAAGTGTTTGTTTTGGCGAGTTTGAACGTTTTGAGCATGTGTAATGGCACTAATGCGTTAAGCTGTTGTTTTAGTGTTCTTTTGATGAGTTTGGCTTGTTGTTATGAAAAGTGTTTGTTTTGGCGAGTTTGAACGTTTTTGAGCATGTGTAATGGCATGAATGCGTTAAGCTGTTGTTTTAGTGTTCTTTTGATGAGTTTGGCTTGTTGTTATGAAAAGTGTTTGTTTTGGCGATTTTGAACGTTTTTGGGCATGTGTAATGGCATGAATGCGTCAAGCTGTTGTTTTAGTGTTCTTTTGATGAGTTTGGCTTGTTGTTATGAACATTGTTCGTTTTGGCGAGTTTGAACGTTTTTGAGCATGTGTAATGGCATGAATTCGTTAAGCTGTTGTTTTAGTGTTCTTTTGATGAGTTTGGCTTGTTGTTATGAACATTGTTCGTTTTGGCCAGTTTGAAGGTTTTTTAGCATGTGTAATGGCATGAATGCGTTAAGCTGTTGTTTTAGTGTTCTTTTGATGAGTTTGGCTTGTTGTTTTGAACATTGTTTGTTTTGGCGAGTTTGAACGTTGTTGAGCATGTGTAATGGCATGAATGCGTTAAGCTGTTGTTTTAGTGTTCTTTTGATGAGTTTGGCTTGTTGTTATGAAAAGTGTTTGTTTTGGCGAGTTTGAACGTTTTTGAGCATGTGTAATGGCATGAATGCGTTAAGCTGTTGTTTTTAGTGTTCTTTTGATGAGTTTGGCTTGTTGTTATGAACATTGTTCGTTTTGGCCAGTTTGAAGGTTTTTTAGCATGTGTAATGGCATGAATGCGTTAAGTTGTCGTTTTAGTGTTCTTTTGATGAGTTTGGCTTGTTGTTATGAACATTGTTCGTTTTGGCGAGTTTGAACGTTTTTGAGCATGTGTAATGGCATAATTCGTTAAGCTATTGTTTTAGTCTTCTTTTGATGAGTTTGGCTTGTTGATATGAAAAGTGTATGTTTTGGCGAGTTTGAACGTTTTTGAGCATGTGTAATGGCATGAATGCGTTAAGCTGTTGTTTTAGTGTTCTTATGATGAGTTTGGCTTGTTGTTATGAACATTGTTCGTTTTGGCCAGTTTGAAGGTTCTTTAGCATATGTAATGGCATGAATGTGTTGAATTAGTAATCCCTTGTGTTAAGCCGTTGTTTTAGTGTTCTTTTGATGAGTTTGGCTTGTTGTTATGAAAAGTGTTTGTTTTGGCGAGTTTGAACGTTTTTGAGCATGTGTAATGGCATGAATGCGTTAAGCTGTTGTTTTAGTGTTCTTTTGATGAGTTTGGCTTGTTGTTATGAAAAGTGTTTGTTTTGGCGAGTTTGAACGTTTTTGAGCATGTGTAATGGCATGAATGCGTTAAGCTGTTGTTTTAGTGTTCTTTTGATGACTTTGGCTTGTTGTTATGAACATTGTTCGTTTTGGCGAGTTTGAACGTTTTTGAGCATGTGTAATGGCATGAATTCGTTAAGCTGTTGTTTTAGTGTTCTTTTGATGAGTTTGGCTTGTTGTTATGAACATTGTTCGTTTTGGCGAGTTTGAACGTTTTTGAGCATGTGTAATGGCATGAATTCGTTAAGCTGTTGTTTTAGTGTTCTTTTGATGAGTTTGGCTTGTTGTTATGAAAAGTGTTTGTTTTGGCGAGTTTGAACGTTTTTGAGCATGTGTAATGGCATGAATGTGTTGAATTGGTAATCCCTTGTGTTAAGCCATTGTTTTAGTGTTCTTTTGATGAGTTTGGCTTGTTGTTATGAACATTGTTTGTTTTGGTGAGTTTGAACGTTTTTGAGCATGTGTAATGCATGAATGCGTTAAGCTGTTGTTTTAGTGTTCTTATGATGAGTTTGGCTGGTTGTTATGAAAAGTGTTTGTTTTGGCGAGTTTGAACGTTTTTGAGCATGTGTAATGGCATGAATGCGTTAAGCTGTTGTTTTAGTGTTCTTTTGATGAGTTTGGCTTGTTGTTATGAAAAGTGTTTGTTTTGGCGATTTTGAACGTTTTTGAGCATGTGTAATGGCATGAATGCGTTAAGCTGTTGTTTTAGTGTTCTTTTGATGAGTTTGGCTTGTTGTTATGAACATTGTTCGTTTTGGCCAGTTTGAAGGTTTTTTTAGCATGTGTAATGGCATGAATGCGTTAAGCTTTTGTTTTAGTGTTCTTTTGATGAGTTTGGCTTGTTGTTATGAACATTGTTCGTTTTGGCGAGTTTGAACGTTTTTGAGCATGTGTAATGGCATAATTTGTTAAGCAATTGTTTTAGTGTTCTTTTGATGAGTTTGGCTTGTTGATATGAAAAGTGTTTGTTTTGGCGAGTTTGAACGTTTTTGAGCATGTGTAATGGCACTAATGCGTTAAGCTGTTGTTTAAGTGTTCTTTTGATGAGTTTGGCTTGTTGTTATGAACATTGTTCGTTTTGGCCAGTTTGAAGGTTTTTTTAGCATGTGTAATGGCATGAATGCATTAAGCTTTTGTTTTAGTGTTCTTTAGATGAGCTTGGCTTGTTGTTATGAAAAGTGTTTGTTTTGGCGAGTTTGAACGTTTTTGAGCATGTGTATTGGCATGAATGTGTTGAATTAGTAATCCCTTGTGTTAAGCCGTTGTTTCAGTGTTCTTTTGATGAGTTTGGCTTGTTGTTATGAAAAGTGTTTGTTTTGGCGAGTTTGAACGTTTTTGAGCATGTGTAATGGCATGAATGCGTTAAGCTGTTGTTTTAGTGTTCTTTTGATGAGTTTGGCTTGTTGTTATGAAAAGTGTTCGTTTTGGCCAGTTTGAACGTTTTTGAGCATGTGTAATGGCATGAATGCGTTAAGCTGTTGTTTTAGTGTTCTTTTGATGAGTTTGGCTTGTTGTTATGAAAAGTGTTTGTTTTGGCGAGTTTGAACGTTTTTGAGCATGTGTAATGGCATGAATGTGTTGAATTAGTAATCCCTTGTGTTAAGCCATTGTTTTAGTGTTCTTTTGATGAGTTTGGCTTGTTGTTATGAAAAGTGTTTGTTTTGGCGAGTTTGAACGTTTTTGAGCATGTGTAATGGCATGAATGCGTTAAGCTGTTGTTTTAGTGTTCTTTTGATGAGTTTGGCTTGTTGTTATGAAAATTGTTTGTTTTGGCGAGTTTGAACGTTTTTGAGCATGTGTAATGGCATGAATGCGTTAAGCTGTTGTTTTAGTGTTCTTTTGATGAGTTTGGCTTGTTGTTATGAACATTGTTCGTTTTGGCCAGTTTGAACGTTTTTGAGCATGTGTAATGGCATGAATGCGTTAAGCTGTTGTTTTAGTGTTCTTTTGATGAGTTTGGCTTGTTGTTATGAACAGTGTTCGTTTTGGCGAGTTTGAACGTTTTTGAGCATGTGTAATGGCATGAATGCGTTAAGCTGTTGTTTTAGTGTTCTTTTGATGAGTTTGGCTTGTTGTTATGAAAAGTGTTTGTTTTGGCGAGTTTGAACGTTTTTGAGCATGTGTAATGGCATGAATGCGTTAAGCTGTTGTTTTAGTGTTCTTTTGATGAGTTTGGCTTGTTGTTATGAAAAGTGTTTGTTTTGGCGAGTTTGAACGTTTTTGAGCATGTGTAATGGCATGAATGTGTTGAATTAGTAATCCCTTGTGTTAAGCCGTTGTTTTAGTGTTCTTTTGATGAGTTTGGCTTGTTGTTATGAAAAGTGTTTGTTTTGGCGAGTTTGAACGTTTTTGAGCATGTGTAATAGCATGAATGCGTTAAGCTGTTGTTTTAGTGTTCTTTTGATGAGTTTGGCTTGTTGTTATGAACATTGTTCGTTTTGGCCAGTTTGAAGGGTTTTTTAGCATGTGTAATGGCATGAATGCGTTAAGCTGTTGTTTTAGTGTTCTTTTGATGAGTTTGGCTTGTTGTTAAGAAAAGTGTTTGTTTTGGCGAGTTTGAACGTTTTTTAGCATGTGTAATGGCACTAATGCGTTAAGCTGTCTTTTTAGTGTTCTTTTGATGAGTTTGGCTTGTTGTTATGAACATTGTTTGTTTTGGCGAGTTTGAACGTTTTTGAGCATGTGTAATGGCATGAATGCGTTAAGCTGTTGTTTTAGTGTTCTTTTGATGAGTTTGGCTTGTTGTTATGAAAAGTGTTTGTTTTGGCGAGTTTGAACGTTTTTGAGCATGTGTAATGGCATGAATGCTGTTAAGCGTTGTTTTAGTGTTCTTTTGATGAGTTTGGCTTGTTGTTATGAACATTGTGTTTGTTTTGGCGAGTTTGAAGGTTTTTGAGCATGTGTAATGGCATGAATGCGTTAAGCTGTTGTTTTAGTGTTCTTTTGATGAGTTTGGCTTGTTGTTATGAACATTGTTCGTTTTGGCCAGTTTGAACGTTTTTGAGCATGTGTAATGGCATGAATGCGTTAAGCTGTTGTTTTAGTGTTCTTTTGATGAGTTTGGCTTGTTGTTATGAAAATTGTTGTTTTGGCGAGTTTGAACGTTTTTGAGCATGTGTAATGGCATAATGCGTTAAGCTGTTGTTTTAGTGTTCTTTTGATGAGTTTGGCTTGTTGATATGAAAAGTGTTTGTTTTGGCGAGTTTGAACGTTTTTGAGCATGTGTAATGGCATGAATGCGTTAAGCTGTTGTTTTAGTGTTCTTTTGATGAGTTTGGCTTGTTGTTATGAAAAGTGTTTGTTTTGGCGAGTTTGAACGTTTTTGAGCATGTGTAATGGCATGAATGTGTTGAATTAGTAATCCCTTGTGTTAAGCCGTTGTTTCAGTGTTCTTTTGATGAGTTTGGCTTGTTGTTATGAAAAGTGTTTGTTTTGGCGAGTTTGAACGTTTTTGAGCATGTGTAATGGCACTAATGCGTTAAGCTGTTGTTTTAGTGTTCTTTTGATGAGTTTGGCTTGTTGTTATGAAAAGTGTTTGTTTTGGCGAGTTTGAACGTTTTTGAGCATGTGTAATGGCATGAATGCGTTAAGCTGTTGTTTTAGTGTTCTTTTGATGAGTTTGGCTTGTTGTTATGAACATTGTTGTTTTGGCGAGTTTGAACGTTTTTGAGCATGTGTAATGGCATGAATTCGTTAAGCTGTTGTTTTAGTGTTCTTTTGATGAGTTTGGCTTGTTGTTATGAACATTGTTCGTTTTGGCGAGTTTGAACGTTTTTGAGCATGTGTAATGGCATGAATTCGTTAAGCTGTTGTTTTAGTGTTCTTTTGATGAGTTTGGCTTGTTGTTATGAACATTGTTCGTTTTGGCCAGTTTGAAGGTTTTTTAGCATGTGTAATGGCATGAATGTGTTGAATTGGTAATCCCTTGTGTTAAGCCTGTTGTTTTAGTGTTCTTTTGATGAGTTTGGCTTGTTGTTATGAACATTGTTCGTTTTGGCCAGTTTGAAGGTTTTTGAGCATGTGTAATGCATGAATGCGTTAAGCTGTTGTTTTAGTGTTCTTATGATGAGTTTGGCTGGTTGTTATGAAAAGTGTTTGTTTTGGCGAGTTTGAACGTTTTTGAGCATGTGTAATGGCATGAATGCGTTAAGCTGTTGTTTTAGTGTTCTTTTGATGAGTTTGGCTTGTTGTTATGAAAAGTGTTTGTTTTGGCGAGTTTGAACGTTTTTGAGCATGTGTAATAGCATGAATGCGTTAAGCTGTTGTTTTAGTGTTCTTTTGATGAGTTTGGCTTGTTGTTATGAACATTGTTCGTTTTGGCCAGTTTGAAGGGTTTTTTAGCATGTGTAATGGCATGAATGCGTTAAGCTGTTGTTTTAGTGTTCTTTTGATGAGTTTGGCTTGTTGTTAAGAAAAGTGTTTGTTTTGGCGAGTTTGAACGTTTTTTAGCATGTGTAATGGCACTAATGCGTTAAGCTGTTGTTTTAGTGTTCTTTTGATGAGTTTGGCTTGTTGTTATGAACATTGTTTGTTTTGGCGAGTTTGAACGTTTTTGAGCATGTGTAATGGCATGAATGCGTTAAGCTGTTGTTTTAGTGTTCTTTTGATGAGTTTGGCTTGTTGTTATGAACATTGTTCGTTTTGGCCAGTTTGAAGGTTTTTGAGCATGTGTAATGGCATGAATGCGTTAAGCTTTTGTTTTAGTGTTCTTTAGATGAGCTTGGCTTGTTGTTATGAAAAGTGTTTGTTTTGGCGAGTTTGAAGGTTTTTGAGCATGTGTAATGGCATGAATGTGTTGAATTAGTAATCCCTTGTGTTAAGCCGTTGTTTCAGTGTTCTTTTGATGAGTTTGGCTTGTTGTTATGAAAAGTGTTTGTTTTGGCGAGTTTGAACGTTTTTGAGCATGTGTAATGGCATGAATGCGTTAAGCTGTTGTTTTAGTGTTCTTTTGATGAGTTTGGCTTGTTGTTATGAACATTGTTTGTTTTGGCCAGTTTGAAGGTTTTTTAGCATGTGTAATGGCATGAATGCGTTAAGCTGTTGTTTTAGTGTTCTTTTGATGAGTTTGGCTTGTTGTTATGAAAAGTGTTTGTTTTGGCGAGTTTGAACGTTTTTGAGCATGTGTAATGGCATGAATGCGTTAAGCTGTTGTTTTAGTGTTCTTTTGATGAGTTTGGCTTGTTGTTATGAACATTGTTCGTTTTGGCGAGTTTGAACGTTTTTGAGCATGTGTAATGGCATGAATGCGTTAAGCTGTTGTTTTAGTGTTCTTTTGATGAGTTTGGCTTGTTGTTATGAAAAGTGTTTGTTTTGGCGAGTTTGAACGTTTTTGAGCATGTGTAATGGCATGAATGCGTTAAGCTGTTGTTTTAGTGTTCTTTTGATGAGTTTGGCTTGTTGTTATGAACATTGTTTGTTTTGGCGAGTTTGAACGTTTTTGAGCATGTGTAATGGCATGAATGCGTTAAGCTGTTGTTTTAGTGTTCTTTTGATGAGTTTGGCTTGTTGTTATGAAAAGTGTTTGTTTTGGCGAGTTTGAACGTTTTTGAGCATGTGTAATGGCATGAATGCGTTAAGCTGTTGTTTTAGTGTTCTTTTGATGAGTTTGGCTTGTTGTTATGAACAGTGTTTGTTTTGGCGAGTTTGAACGATTTTGAGCATGTTTAATGGCATGAATGTGTTGAATTAGTAATCCCTTGTGTTAAGCTGTTGTTTTAGTGTTCTTTTGATGAGTTTGGCTTGTTGTTATGAAAAGTGTTTGTTTTGGCGAGTTTGAACGTTTTTGAGCATGTGTAATGGCATGAATGCGTTAAGCTGTTGTTTTAGTGTTCTTTTGATGAGTTTGGCTTGTTGTTATGAACAGTGTTTGTTTTGGCGAGTTTGAACGATTTTTGAGCATGTTTAATGGCATGAATGTGTTGAATTGAATCCCTTGTGTTAAGCTGTTGTTTTAGTGTTCTTTTGATGAGTTTCGCTTGTTGTTATGAAAAGTGTTTGTTTTGGCGAGTTTGAACGTTTTTGAGCATGTGTAATGGCATGAATGCGTTAAGCTGTTGTTTTAGTGTTCTTTTGATGAGTTTGGCTTGTTGTTATGAAAAGTGTTTGTTTTGGCGAGATTGAAGATTTTTCAAGCATGTGTAATGGCATGAATGCCTGAAGCTGTTGTTTTAGTGTTCTTTTGATGAGTTTGGCTTGTTGTTATGAACATTGTTCGTTTTGGCGAGTTTGAAGGTTTTTGAGCATGTGTAATGGCATGAATGCATTAAGGTGTTGTTTTAGTGTTGTTTTGATGAGTTTGGCTTGTTGTTATGAACATTGTTTGTTTTGGCGAGTTTGAACGTTTTTGAGCATGTGTAATGGCATGAATGCGTTAAGCTGTTGTTTTAGTGTTCTTTTGATGAGTTTGGCTTGTTGTTATGAAAAGTTGTTTGTTTTGGCGAGTTTGAACGTTTTTGAGCATGTGTAATGGCATGAATGCGTTAAGCTGTTGTTTTAGTGTTCTTTTGATGAGTTTGGCTTGTTGTTATGAAAAGTGTTTGTTTTGGCGAGTTTGAACGTTTTTGAGCATGTGTAATGGCATGAATGCGTTAAGCTGTTGTTTTAGTGTTCTTTTGATGAGTTTGGCTTGTTGTTATGAACATTGTTTGTTTTGGCGAGTTTGAAGGTTTTTGAGCATGTGTAATGGCATGAATGCGTTAAGCTGTTGTTTTAGTGTTCTTTTGATGAGTTTGGCTTGTTGTTATGAAAAGTGTTTGTTTTGGCGAGTTTGAACGTTTTTGAGCATGTGTAATGGCATGAATGCGTTAAGCTGTTGTTTTAGTGTTCTTTTGATGAGTTTGGCTTGTTGTTATGAAAAGTGTTTGTTTTGGCGAGTTTGAAGGTTTTTGAGCATGTGTAATGGCATGAATGCGTTAAGCTGTTGTTTTAGTGTTCTTTTGATGAGTTTGGCTTGTTGTTATGAACAGTGTTTGTTTTGGCGAGTTTGAACGATTTTGCGCATGTGTAATGGCATGAATTTGTTGAAATAGTAATCCCTTGTGTTAAGCTGTTGTTTTAGTGTTCTTTTGATGAGTTTGGCTTGTTGTTATGAACAGTGTTTGTTTTGGCGAATTTGAACGATTTTGAGCATGTGTAATGACATGAATGCGTTAAGCTGTTGTTTTAGTGTTCTTATGATGAGTTTGGCTTGTTGTTATGAACAGGGTTTGTTTTGGCGAGTTTGAACGATTTTGAGCAAGTGAAATTGGCATGAATGTGTTGAAATAGTAATCCCTTGTGTTAAGCTGTTGTTTTAGAGTTCTTTTGATGAGTTTGACTTGTTGTTATGAACATTGTTCGTTTTGGCGAGTTTGAAGGTTTTTGAGCATGTGTAATGGCATGAATGCGTAAAGCTGTTGTTTTAGTGTTCTTACGATGAGTTTGGCAAGTTGTTATGAACAGTGTTTGTTTTGGCGAGTTTGAACAATTTTGAGCAAGTGAAATTGGCATGAATGTGTTGAAATAGTAATCCCTTGTGTTAAGCTGTTGTTTTAGTGTTCTTTTGATGAGTTTTGCTTGTTGTTATGAACATTGTTCGTTTTGGCGAGTTTGAAGGTTTTTGAGCATGTGTAATGGCATGAATGCATTTAGCTGTTGTTTTAGTGTTCTTTTGATGAGTTTAGCTTGTTGTTATGAACAATGTTTGTTTTGGCGAGTTTGAAGGATTTTGAGCATGTGTAATGGCATGAATGTGTTGAAATAGTAATCCCTTGTGTTAAGCTGTTGTTTTAGTGTTCCTTTGATGAGTTATGCTTGTTGTTATGAACATTGTTCGTTTTGGTGAGTTTGAACGATTTTGAGCATGTGTAATGGCATGAATGCGTTAAGCTGTTGTTTTAGTGTTCTTTTGATGAGTTTGGCTTGTTGTTATGAAAAGTGTTTGTTTTGGCGAGTTTGAACGTTTTTGAGCATGTGTAATGGCATGAATGCGTTAAGGTGTTGTTTTAGTGTTGTTTTGATGAGTTTGGCTTGTTGTTATGAACATTGTTCGTTTTGGCGAGTTTGAAGGTTTTTGAGCATGTGTAATGGCATGAATGTGTTGAAATAGTAATCCCTTGTATTAAGCTGTTGTTTTAGTGTTCTTTTGATGAGTTTGGCTTGTTGTTGTGAGCATTGTTCGTTTTGGCGAGTTTGAACGTTTTTGAGCATGTGTAATGGCATGAATGCGTTAAGCTGTTGTTTAAGTGTTCTTTTGATGAGTTTGGCTTGTTGTTATGAACAGTGTTTGTTTTGGCGAGTTTGAAGGTTTTTGAGCATGTGTAATGTTATGAATGTGTTGAAATAGTAATCCCTTGTGTTAAGCTTTTGTTTTAGTGTTCTTTTGATGAGTTTGGCCTGTTGTTATGAACATTGTTCGTTTTGGCGAGTTTGAAGGTTTTTGAGCATGTGTAATGGCATGAATGCGTTAAGCTGTTGTTTTAGTGTTTTTTTGATGAGTTTGGATTTTTGTTATGAACATTGTTCGTTTTGGCGAGTTTGAAGGTTTTTGAGCATGTGTAATGGCATGAATGCCTGAAGCTGTTGTTTTAGTGTTCTTTTGATGAGTTTGGCTTGTTGTTATGAACATTGTTTGTTTTGGCGAGTTTGAAGGTTTTTGAGCATGTTTAATGGCATGTTTGTGTTGAATTAGTTAACCCTTGTGTTAAGCTGTTGTTTTAGTGTTCTTTTGATGAGTTTGGCTTGTTGTTATGAACATTGTTTGTTTTGGCTAGTTTGAAGGTTTTTGAGCATGTGTAATGGCATGAATGTGTTTAGCTGTTGTTTTAGTGTTCATTTGATGAGTTTGGCTTGTTGTTATGAAGATTGTTTGTTTTGGCGAGTTTGAAGGTTTTTGAGCATGTGTAATGGCATGAATGTGTTGAATTAGTAATCCCTTGTGTTAAGATGTATTTTAAAGTGGTCTTTAAAGGGGTTTGGCTTAATGTTATGAACATTGTTTGTTTTGGCGAGTTTTCAGGTTTTTGAGCATGTGTCATGGCATGAATGTGTTAAATTAGTTAACCCTTGTGTTAAGCTGTTGTTTTAGTGTTCTTTTGATGAGTTTGGCTTGTTGTTATGAACAGTGTTTGTTTAGGCGAGTTTGAAGATTTTTCAGCATGTTTGATGGCATGAATGTGTTTAGCAGTTTTTCTACTGTTCTTTTGATGAGTTTGGTTTGTTGTTATGAACATTGTTTGTTTTGGCAAGTTTGAAGGTTTTTGAGCAAGTGTAATGGCATGAATGTGTTAAGCTGTTGTTTTAGTGTTCTGTTGATGAGTTTGGCTTGTTGATATGAACATTGCTTGTTTAGGCGAGTTTGAAGGTTTTTGAGCATGTTTAATGGCATGTTTGTGTTGAAATAGTTAACCCTTGTGTTAAGCTGTTGTTTTAGTGTTATTTTGATGAGTTTGGCTTGTTGTTATGAACATTGTTTGTTTTGGCGAGTTTGAAGATTTTTGAGCATGTTTGATGGCATGAATGTGTTTAGCTCTTGTTTTAGTGTTCTTTTGATGAGTTTGGCTTGTTGTTATGAACATTGTTCGTTTTGGCGAGTTTGAAGGTTTTTGAGCATGTGTAATGGCATGAATGTGTTAAGCTGTTGTTTTAGTTTTTTTTTGATAAGTTTGGCTTGTTGTTATGAACATTGTTTGTTTTGGCGAGTTTGACGGTTTTTGAGCATGTGTAATGGCACGAATGCGTGAAGCTGTTGTTTTAGTGTTCTTTTGATGAGTTTGGCTTGTTGTTATGAACATTGTTCGTTTTGGCGAGTTTGAAGGTTTTTGATCATGTGTAATAGCATGAATGCGTGAAGCTGCTGTTTTAGTGTTCTTAGGATGAGTTTGGCTTGTTGTTATGAACATTGTTCGTTTTGGCGAGTTTGAAGGTTTTTGAGCATGTGTAATGGCATGAATGCGTTAAGCTGTTGTTTCACTGTTCCTTTGATGAGTTTGGCTTGTTGTTATGAACAAAGTTTGTTTTGGCGAGTTTGAAGGTTTTTGAGCATGTTTAATGGCATGTTTGTGTTGAATTAGTTAACCCTTGTGTTTAGCTGTTGTTTTACTGTTCTTTTAATGAGTTTGGCTTGTTGTTATTAACATTGTTTGTTTTGGCGAGTTTGAAGGTTTGTGATCATGTGTTATGGCATGTAATGTTGAATTAGTTAACCCTTGTGTTAAGCTGTTGTTTAAGTCTTCTTTTGATGAGTTTGGCTTGTTGTTATGATCATTGTTTGTTTTGGCGTGTTTGAAGGTTTGTGAGCATGTGTTATGGCACGTATGTGTTGAATTAGTTAACCCTTGTGTTAAGCTGTTGTTTTAGTCTTTTTTTGATGAGTTTTGCTTGTTGTTATGAACACTGTTAGTTTTAGCGAGTTTGAAGGTTTGTGAGCATGTGTTATGGCATGTTTGTGTTGAATTAGTTAACCCTTGTGTTAAGCTGTTATTTTACTGTTCTTTTGATGAGTTTGGCTTGTTGTTATGAAGATTGTTTGTTTTGGCGAGTTTGAAGGTTTCTGCGCATGTGTTATGGCGCGTATGTGTTTAATTGGCTACCCCTTGTGCTTAATTGTATTTTAAGTGTTTTTTTAAAGATTTTAGTTTGTTGTTATGAACATTGTTTGTTCTGGCGAGGTTGAAGGTTTTTGAGCATGTGTAATGGCATGTATGTGTTGAATTAGTTAACCCTTGTGTTAAGCTGTTGTTTTAGTGTTCTTTTGATGAGATGGCGTGTTGTTATGAACATTGTTTGTTTTGGTGAGTTTGTAGGTTTTTGAGCATGTGTTATGGCACTTATATGTTGAATTGGCTACCCCTTGTGTTAAGCTGTATTTTAAGTGTCCTTTTAAAGAGTTTGGCTTGTTGTTATGAACATTGTTTGTTTTGGCAGGGTTGAAGGTTTGTGAGCATGTGTTATGGCATGTAATGTTGAATTAGTTAACCCTTGTGTTAAGCTGTTGTTTTAGTGTTCTTTTAAAGAGTTTGGCTTGTTGTTATGATCATTGTTTGTTTTGCGAGTTTGAAGGTTTGTGAGCATGTGTTATGGCATGCATCTGTTGAGTTTGTTACCCCCTGTGTTTAGCTGTTGTTTAAGTGTTCTTTTGATGTGTTGGCTTGTTGTTATGATCGTAGTTTGTATTGGCGAGTTTGAAGTTTTGTGCACATGTGTTATGGCTCGTATGTTTTGAATTTGCTTCCCCTTGTGCTAAATTGTATTTTAAGTTTTCTTTTAAAGAGTTTGGCTTGTTGTTATGATCATTGTTTGTTTTGGCGAGTTTGAAGGTTTGTGAGCATGTGTTATGGCATGTAATGTTGAATTAGTTAACCCTTGTGTTAAGCTGTTGTTTTAGTGTTCTTTTAAAGAGTTTGGCGTGTTGTTATGAACATTGTTTGTTTTGGTGAGTTTGTAGGTTTTTGAGCATGTGTTATGGCACGTATATGTTGAATTGGCTACCCCTTGTGTTAAGCTGTTGTTTTAGTGTTCTTTTAAAGAGTTTGGCTTGTTGTTATGATCATTGTTTGTTTTGCGAGTTTGAAGGTTTGTGAGCATGTGTTATGGCATGCATCTGTTGAGTTTGTTACCCCCTGTGTTTAGCTGTTGTTTAAGTGTTCTTTTGATGTGTCGGCTTGTTGTTATGATCGTAGTTTGTATTGGCGAGTTTTTTTTTATGCTCAATTTGACATACTCTTTGAAAACATGAATTCAAAATTTTCACCGGGTCAATACTAAAGCCAGGAATAATTCTGTCCCTTTAGTGCCTCCCAGTGGCCAAAAAAGCCAATACTTAATCAGACATAAACTTCAAAAAACATCATCAGAAACTGGTGATCTCCCGCAGGTAATCAAAGTCTTGAATATGTCAAAGAATAGTTATATCATTGACTTTATTCCCTTTTTAGTTTTTCTGTAGCATCAGGTTTAATAAAAAACTCCCTTTGGCGCCCCTCAGTGGCCAAAACTACTTTGTCTGCTGTAAGATATATTGGATTAATACTTTTTTCTGATTTTTTTCATACATCTCTTATTTTACTTCTTCCCTGTTCAAAACTAGCAAATGTTTCATTGAAAATAAAAATTTTAACCCTTTAAGGTCCCATTTGAGACCTAAAGTCACTTATAAAGCAAAAAATAAAGGAAGGAAAATGACCTATTTTTTTTATAAAACATAATCCGAAGCTGGTGATTTTTTACAAGGTGCATGGGCTTGGGCATGTGGAGGATTAGAAACATCAGAATGTTTGGTACATTTTTGTGTAACAGATTTTCATAAAAACTGCATTGATTAAGTGGTTTTATAAGTGCATTCCCTATATACCAATATCAGAGCATTCTCTTTCACTGACTGCAGGTGGTAGTCATGTGTGAGACAGAATTCAGTGTGTGTTTGTGTGCACGTGCGTGCATTTGCGTGCACGTGCGTGCATATGTGTGCGTGTATGTGTGAGTGTGTGTGTAACAAACAATATAAGATTGGAACACAACCATATTTTATTGCTCAAAATACATCAACAAAAGTAGAAGGTGGTGTGTGTGTGTGTGTGTGTGTGTGTGTGTGAGTGAACATGTGTGTGTGTGAGCAAGGTTGGTAAGCAAGGTTGGAAAGAGAGACACCCAGATATGGGTTTCTACGACCCATTCTTTCCAACTCCTCCCAGTCGTTGTCTGTTCCCTTCTCCAGTAAGATAAATATCTGCTCCTCACACTAGCAATTTTAGAACTGAAGAAGCTTCTTGGATAAGAGGCAAAACGCCTTCTCAACTCTACACAGTCCAGTTGCCTGTTTTTAAGTCACAATCTTGCCCCAAGTGGCTTTTTTTAGCCACACCGTTACATAAGGGATAAACTTTAAAAAATGCATGATCATCAGAGATAAAAACTAAACTTTTTGCCTTGATACTTACTCATCTTTACCAATATCATCTACACTGATTTAAATTATAGGATTTTCAGTAACCAGCTACATCCCCTATGATAGACCATTCATGCAAATGAATTCAGTTATTTGAAACACTTATGCTAAAGGTTAAATGTAGGGTGTGTGACTTGATTCTGAGCAGTGTACAGCGAACCTGGGTCATGGAAAGCAAAAAAGAGAAAAGGGACTAGGTTTCATTTTCTGAAATAAGTGACAAAAACTATTAAACTTTTTCATGCTATTCTAAATGTAAATGACCAACATTATGTGTTTGTATCAGCAGTCTTATTTTGAAGTTAAAATCCCTATTTGCTATTATTTTATTTCCTGTGAGTAATATAACAGAGACCGATCCCCTTATTTTGAAAGAATTTTCACCGGAAGTTAGAATTCAATGAACAGTAAAAGATATGAAAAGTCAGGATCACAATCGTCAATAAGGATCTCTTAAGTTGTTTAAAGTACCTGGTTGATAGAGGCACAACATATGCTTCTTTTCTCACACAAATTAATATGAAGTGCCTTTTTAAGAGTTTTTATGAAATTTGATCGAGTTTCGTGTTGCTGAGTACTAGTAAAGATGCTACAGTTACGATGATGGTTACAGTTAACACAGATGACACAGTTAACACAAGAAAGTTGATTTCATTGTTCTTGAAGGTGTATAAAATATATAATTTTAATCAAACGATTTTCTGTTACAGAAAGTGTATTAATATTGTTCCTATTGTTTTTTCGCTAGCTCTTACGGTGTGTTCACACTCTTTAATGGAAGTTCAAAGATGGAAGTTTAAAGGAACCATTTTAAAAATAAAACTTTGTGAAACATCAGTTGGAGAGTCAGACCATAAATCAACCAGGATGCTACAGTAAATTTAAAGATATGTATATATAGATACACAGTCAAGATATGCCACATAACCATTGATCTAATAATCGGATCCTATTCTGAGTTATTTTTACATTTACTAATTTTGGATAACTAAAAAATTTTTTTCTATTTAAAAAAACATTATAAAATCAAGCTTATGATCTGACAATTAAATAAAAAAATATCACACACCCCCTTTTCAAACTTACCAGTTCGTTCAAGCCTTCAGGACCGAATGTGCTCTGCCTCTCTGTTTGCATCTTTTCAGCCTGTGCCTTCTCAAATCGCCGTTCACAGACATTGTGGTGGTCTTTTAGCTTGACGACGCAGACGCCACTGGGCCTGCAAAAAACAGAAAATATAGTTTTAACTACAATGATGAACCAAATTGAACATCTATTCCCCTTTTTCTTTTATTACACAAGACAACAAAGGAAAGCTGGGCTGCTGTGACAAAAATATCCTGTATGTGCTGAGACACCAAGGCCTATTAAATATAGAACTACCTCAATAATTTAAAGATCAAGGTTTTAAGACCGAGGATATGCATAGTTGATCTTGTGTGTATTTATACACATTTTATGCTAAATTGTAGTGTACCTCTTGATTTCCAGAGCCCAAAGATGTCTTCATGACCTTGGGCTTTGCTAGTTCACAGCCTGTTTTCACCTCAGCACCTGAGAATAAATATAAAAGGTCAATCATGGATATGACTGATTAATTACAAACTCAATTACACAGATACAATCAATTTAAAAATTGATCTCAGACATGTTGATTAATAAAAAAACATAAGCCAACAATATTATATTTTGTTTGACAGCATACATAACCCTTGTGTAACCGTTAGATTTAGATCAGTTGTTAATGCTCAGTGGCTAAAAAAAATCACTGACATTAACCGCTGTAAAAACATATTGGATTCATATTTTTTCTAGATTTTTTTCACACATCTCTTAATTAACTTCTGCTGTATTCAAAACTAGTAAATGTGTCATTAAAAAAATCAAAATTTTAACCCTTTAAGGGCCAATTTAAAACATACACCCACTAATATTAGGAAAAAATGAAAAAATGTAACCAATGTTAACATTAGAACCAAACCATATTTTATCGCTCAAAATGCAATAAAACAAAAGCCACAAATACACAACAACAGAGTATCAAACTAGAACAAACGACTAACTTTTGAGGGTGAAGCGGTGGAGAGGACTGAAAGAAACCTGGGGAGCCTAAGAGAGCGAATGTGTGAGAAATTGAGTGAGCAAAGAGAGATAAAATGTAAAAGTGCGTGTGAGTGAGTGAGTGAGTGAGGGAGTGAGTGAGTGAGTGAGTGAGTGAGCGAGTGAGTGAGTGAGCGAGTGTGTGTGTGTGTGTGTTCAATGTTTGAAGCAAGTCCGGCAGGAGACCTCTTTGTGATCATGCCAGATGTGTTTCCAAACAGGCCAGACAAAATCTAAAGCCCCAAAAAATGTGTGTTTGCGTGCGTGTGTGCGTGCATCAAGTGTGTGCATGTGAGAGAGAGAGGGGAGGAGCCTGCAGGTCATGACCCAGCACTGACCTCGTCACAAAAGTTAACTATGTTCTTCAGCTCTCAGAAATACAGAGAGGTGGAAAAAAATAAACAAAAACAAAAGTGAGCTGTCCTGCAATCCACAGCTTGCAGATTCTAATGACCATTTTTTCATGAGAAGAGCAAGAGAAAGCATGAAGAGAAGCTTCTGCACCACGGAGGCCCTTGCAATTGTCATTGATTCTGATGGGATGGAATCTGACCCCCCACAGGATCCATCATCATTGTCTGGCCTGTTTTGTTCGAGGGGTGAATCTACTGCCTCGCTGTGAGATGTGGATCTCTCCTGGAACCGGAGAAAGTGATTCAGGAGGAGGCTTTTCGTGGAGGACCTGGGAACGGCTTTGGTGTCAAAAAGAACTAACAAAACCTGTGAGTTATGTGTGAAACACATCTGGCATGAACACAGAGTGATCTCCTGCAGGTCTTGCTTCAAACACTGAACACACACACACACACACACACACACACACACACACACACACACACACACACACACACACACACACACACACACACACACACACACACACATACACACACACACAGAGCTGAGTTCTGGCTCAGCACATTACGACCAAGCTGGTACTGAAAGAGAATGCGAGTATAGAAAAGACATGACTAGTGCAAGTGTTTTTATGAGTGTTTTGTGAAAGTTTCTATGAAAATTAGACATTACACAAAATGTATCATAGTTTCTGAGGTTCCTAATCCTTCACAAGGCCAAGACCATGCAACATGTAAAAAATCACCTGTTTTTGATTATGTTTTATGATGAAAATAGGTCATTTTTGTGTATTTTTCTACCATATCAGTGACATTATGCTTTGAATGGACCCTCAAGGGTTAAAAAATGTTTTTAGATGAAACATTTACTAGTTTTGATCAAAGCAGAAGTTACTTAAGAGATATATGAAAAAAATGGAGAAAAAAATATTAACCCAATATGTTTTACAGCAGTCAAAGTAAGTGGCTTTTTTTAGCTACTGAGCGTAAACAAAGAATAGAAAATTTGCCCAACCTGTATTTTTGACCTGGTGAAAATTTTGAAGTCATTTTTTCAAAGTGTCCATCAATATAGGCATCTGCACAAAAAAATCATCCCATTTGCTGCAGTTAAAAACAAAGTTACATGGAAATTAGTGGCTAAATTTTGCCCCAAGTGGCCTTTTTTAGCCACACCATTACATAAGGGATAAACTTTAAAAAATGCACGATTATCAGAGATAAAAACTAAACGTTATTGCCTTGATACTTACTAATCTTTACCAATATCATCTACACTGATTTAAATTATCTGACACTGATTATCATCCTGTCAACACAAGGAACACAATCAGTCTTACATCCCTGTTCCTGTGTTCTAGGGCCAACCAAGATAGCACTTTACAATCACAACCATGTTGTCTGCATGCGCACTGGTCTAACTGCAAAATGACTGATGTCAATCATGTGATCTCAAGCAGCAACTAATGCTCCAGACTACTACCCCTGTCACAGGTACACCACTGTGACCCCCCAAACAGATGAACAGTTAGATAGAACAGATCTTCAATAGGTTTGTCAACTATCATAATCCTCATCATCTGACTTTAATCCCACTTTCAGGTCTTAACAGTGTCAGGCAACAATTAAGACTCAACAGGGTCTTGGACCTGGTTTAAGGTGACCATATTCTGACTCTCCAAAAAGAGGACATTACTAGTCGCGTTTTACAGGTCGAGTGTTTCTTTACGCCCCTTTAAATCAGTTAGTCCGCGGTGTACAAACTGGAAATTTCCATACAAAACCCCAGAGATTTTTTATCAACTCCCCTGACAGGCCGATGGTCATAAATAACGGTGGACTCACGGATTCTTTTACTATAAAATCGGGATGAATTACTCTCACTGAGGAGCTGCAGAGCTCTCTCTCTCTCTCTCTCTCTCAGCGTTAGCTTAATAT